CACACACCTCACTGTGGTTGAGTCAAATAATCACCTTCTCCCTGCCTACCCTGCTTTGTAAATGGAGACAATGGCATGGACCATCCAGTGCAGTGAGTGTGTGTGTGTGTGTGTGTGTGTGTGTGTGTGTGTGTGTAGGAGTGTCAAAGGACCATGTCTAAGGGACATAGGGCAAGGATGCTCCTGCCTCTCACTCCAAGTCTGGATTCAAAGTGAGCTCCCCCATGGGGATGTTCCAGGGAGCCTACGTTGCTGGTCTATCTTTGGATCCCAGGGACTGCCCCGGGGGTGCGGGCTGGGGTGGTGGGGTTGAAGGTCTCGGTTTCTTTTCATGGCAGTGGCTTCACTTCAGAAAATGGGGGGAAGAAAAAGGGGCCATAGTGCCCACAGGTGTGGCTTTGGTATTCAAGCTCAGTTCCCTCTCACGAGAAGACTGGTCCTTACTTGAGAGATACCAAAACCAAACAACAAACTCACTGCCATTGAGTCAATTCCAACAGAAGAGAACCGCCTCTGTGTTTCCAAGACTGTAGCTCTTTACAGGAGGAGAAAGCGTCATCTTTTCCTGCTGAGTGGCTGGTGGTTTCAAACTGCTTTCAAACTGCTGACTTTGCAGTCTAAGGGGTAAGCCATTGTGCCACCAGCACTTTCCAAAAGCTTGGGCATGGGGGTCTGGCTCATTCTTTGGTGTACCCTTGGAGGCTGGAGCAGTGTTTGCCACATGGCGGTACTCAACAGTCATTTGAGGGATGGATGAGCAAATGAATGGATTGGTGGGTGGATGGATGGATGACTGGGTAGATGGGTGGGTGGATGGATGGATGGATAGATGGGTAGATGGGTGGATGGGTGGGTGGGTGAATGGATGGATGGATGGATGGATGGGTGAGTAGATGGATGGACGGGTGAGTGGATGGATGGACAGGTGAGTGGATGGATGGACGGGTGAGTAGATGGATGGATGGGTAGGTGGATGGAGCTGCTTAGCCTGTGCTAGGTGGGACCCAGTCCATGGCAGCAATTCTAAGTCAGTCAGTGGAGGAGCATACACCCTGCTCCCAAGAGAAGCCTCACTCAAGCAGCTGGCATCTCTGTGTGACGCAGATGGAGCCTCTAATGAATGCCCCAGGCGATGATTTAGTGGAATCAACTTTGTGGCCTGTCTGGGGAGTACACCAGGGCTCCCCTTGGTATTGCAGATAGAAAGCAAAACAGATGCCTGTTTGCCCCCAGTGCCTATATGTTGTGGGTACATTCTCCTGGGTGACCTCTCCCCAAGGCACTGAGAGCTGATGCCATTGCGGCCTCCCCCTGCCTCCGGTCCTGCCACCTCTCTCCTACGCACCTGCAAGAGCTTTGCAGCAGAGCTCCCTTCTGGGTTCCCCCCTTTCTGATTCATTCGGTGGCGGCCATCAGAACCATTCCCCTGCACATGCAATTGCACCTGCACCCACAAGATTGGCATGGGTGTGCCTGGCACGCCACATTGTTTTTTACACGGATCCTCTCCCCAACGGTTCTCTCTGTCAACACTCATTGCAGGCCTACCAATGGCAGACACAGAAGTCACAGAAGTGATGCTTTCAGAGCCTAGACAGGGGGCTGAGCTGCCTGCGCTCAAATTCTCGGGCAGGTTGTGTAAGCTCCCTGAGCCCCACTTCCTCTTCCGCAAAGGTTAGTGTAGCATGTGCAAAGTGCCCAGTACAGGGACTGGCGCGTGGCAAACACCCAGGCAGTTAGCTCTTCTTCGTGACTGACACGAGGTCCTGTAACCTGGGCGAGCGAGACCCAGTCTTTGCCTTCAAGAATCTCTGCCACCTCTTGGAGGAGCCGAGCCCCGAAAAGCCAGAGAAGGCAGAGGGCCGTGAGCAGGGCCACCAGGAGAGGAGAGCGGGGGGTGGGGTGTGTGTGTGTGTGTGTCTGTGTGAGGACTGAGGGCTGGCACCTGGCAGAGTCCACGGGGAATGAAGGGGCCAGGGTCAGGAAATGCCGCCAAGAAGGTGAAGTGTTTGCCCTGTGTGGCCCGGAGAGGAAGTTGGCGGGGAGAAGTCTAGCCAGAGGGAAGAGCATCTGCCAAGGCGAGCACACCGGAGTTAGGCGGTTGACAGGGCTGGAGCCAAGAGTGGGGCAATAGGGGCAGGTCAGAGAAGCAGGCCAAGGTGATGGGGGCAGTTCTTGAAAGACAGGTTCAGGAACCAAACTCGGCTCTAGAAACGATGAGGAGCCCATTGCATGGGAGACTGGCATGGCCACAAGCCACCCCACTCCCCACCCACCAAAGACCCTCCAGCTGCAGTGTGGCCGGCCGAGCCAAGGCAGAGCCAGTTTAGAGGCCCAGCAACACCGCCCACAAGACTTGCATCCTCCTGGAGGTTAGCAATGACTAAGAGGCCCGGGCTGAGGCCAGCGCAGCGGAGGCTCTGAGGCACTTCGGGTGTGAATGGCGTCGGTGACCCCTCGAATCTGGGAGCAGATGCACAGGAAAGGGTCTGAGTCCTGCAGAACGGCCAACAGTGGTGTGACCGGTACAACTGCAATATCCACCCACGCCAGGCCATAGAGTGGTGGGGGGGCCGGTCAATTAGCGACGAGCCAGAGGAGAGCTTCCAGCCCAGAGTGCCCTGACCAGGTTAAGTGTGAGGGGTGGACAGCCGAGGGAGAGGCCCGTGAGAACGAGGCAAGGCCGTGGTCCTGACAGGACTTGAGGAGGGGTCTGGGCCAGGAGGGTGGGTGGTGGGAAAGGAGACAGGAGGTCTCCTCTGAGGGAAACTGCCCACTCCCCCCCACTCCCACCCCCACTAGCCGGGCCGACTCCAGGGACTGGGGAGGTGAAAGAGAGGAGGCAACAAAGAGAGGACTGTTAAGGGCCCAGGGTGCACGAGGGCGCCCCCAGAGGGCAAGAATGATGCTGACTGGCTGGGGCATCGTCCTTCCCTTGGGAGACACACCAGCGGCCCACCCAGGCCATGCCAGGCGCTTCCTCCGGCTGCGAAATGGACTGGACTTTGCCACCACCGGCACACTGAGGCACATCCCCCAACTCACCTGTGCAGAGCTCCTGTGGTAAGGGGAGTAGTGGAGTGGGCCGGAGATGGCTGTGTCGTGAGGCAGGGCTGGGTACTGGCTCTGCATGGGATGGGGATGCTGGTTGCCATAGCTCCCGTAGTTATAGCTTCCCGCGTATCTGCAACGCATGGCGCCCGTGGCGCCCGTGAGTCAGAGCTGGCCCACAGACCAGCTTGCACCTCACGCAACCAACCCCATCCATCTCTTCTTTTTGGATTCAACACCTCCCCATTGGCGCCCCCCACCCCCAGGCCCCCCACTTCCGTTTTCCAGTCCTCTCTACCTCCTTTGGACAGTTGCCGTCTCCGGCTGTGGCTCTTTGGGGGGATGGGGGTGTCATCAAACCTCTTGGCGCTCCCTGAGCTCATGGCCCCCACTCAAGGGAGTGAGCGCCACCCTGAGAAAAACACACTTAATGATGGAAACCCCAAGTCCCAAGGTGCTACAAAGGCCAGTGTTGTATTCTGGAGTCAGGTCAGAGAGAGAGAGAAACTAAAAGAAGTTACTGGGGGATTAATGCTCCCTTGTTACCCAGCACTTGCACCTCCGCTGTGGGCAGGGATGGGCCCAGGGGAAGAACTGGGGCTGGTTGCCCATGGCGGTGGAGGTAATGCACGTGGCTGTTCTGGGGACTGCATGTGCCCCACAGCTAAACGCTTGGCTGCCCAGTGAAAGGTGGGCCATGCAGTCACCCAACAGCTTTGCAGGGGGTAGTGGGGGTACGGTGGGGAGGGGAGACCCAGCCACCTGGACCCAAGAAAACCCACGGAAGCAATCCTACTCTGCCACGTGGGTTCTATCAGCCACGCCCCACCCGCCCAGGCACCCCCAGGCACCACTAAGGTTGTATTGTTATCAGCGTTCCATGAAGAACAACTTTGTAGGTAAACTTGCTGGCATGTGACCCCATGCCAAACCTATGGGTGTCTCTTCTCCCTTTCCTGCAGAACCAACTGAGTCCACTTCCCAAAATCCATTCTGAGTGCTCTGTGGGGAATGTTCCAGAAGTTCCCCCCACCCCCTGCCCCTGCCAAGTCAACAGGCTCCCCTATGGACTGCTGAAGGGCGCCGGGTCTGGGAGAGGGACTGTGGCCGAGGCCCACAGCCAGCATCTCTGAGGTGTCTCACTGCGGTGCTGTGGCCTTTTGGGAGGTGGTCCCTCAGGAGTGCCTCAGAGGCCTGCTCTGCCCTTGGGATGCAGAGAGGCCCTTGGAAACCGCACAAGCGCACAGGGGCCATTGAACTTTAGTGTCTTCTTGGATGAAGACAGTACACAAGAGCAGAAAGTTGCTGTGAGTCAGCGAACACCGGTGAAGGGATTGGTGGTTCAGTCCTCCCTGAGACAACACTGTATAAGAGAGATGGCAAAATCCACCTACGGCCATCAAGCTGTCTCCCACCCATGGCAACCTGATACAAGGGTCTCTGAGGCTATACATCTTTATGGGAAGCAGATAGTTTCCCCTCTCACTCTCTCTCTCTGGTCAAACACTGATGATGTGTTTATTTAGAACACCAAGTACCACTAGCACCCACAGGGATAGCACAGCCCCTGGGCTGGGGCCCCCCTGTCCTAAGCAGAGCCTAGGATAAAGGCTCAGACACACCTGCCAGCTTGACAGGCCAGGGGCTGGACAAAGAGCTCTGGGGGGATGTGCTGGGCGGGACTGTAGGCAGAGGCTTTACAGAGGTATCAGTCTGGCCAGACACGGCTCTGTGTTGGGCACACGGTGGTCCTTCCCACAAAGGGGGCAGCCCTTCCAGTCCTTGGGGGAAGACGGCCCGGAGCCCATCAGATCGAAAAGCCACCTACCCGTGCTCCTCTCTGTGGGGATACACTGGGATCCGGTGTGTGACGGAGGTCGAAGGCACGTGCGTACTCCTCATGCAGGGCAGCTGCTGGGGGGTTTCTGCTGGGGACCCAGCAGCCGTCGTCACCGTGTAGGTGAGGGACCACGTGTATGACTGCATGGCGCCTGCAGAGACACATGGAGCTGCATCAGTCACTAGCACAATTCGTCGATCCCTTAGGGGCCTCCCTTCCCCTTGAGAGCATTCCCACAGCCAGGCTAAGGGCCAAAATCTTCGCAAGACCCGTGTCTTCGGCCCGACTCACCTCACCAGAGTCATCCTCCCCCATGCCACTCCTCTTAGCTAGTCAGAGGCAGCCACCGTCTCCGCCTTTCACTTTTTCAGGCGTGCCATGGCTATTAACACCACAGGGCCTTTGCCCATGCTGCTTTGACTGCCCGGAACCCTTACTCTGCCCGATTCCCAGCTGTTCTCTATATGTGAATCCAGAAAAGCTGACCCTGAGCACCAGACTAGGTCCTATCCCTCGCTGTGGGACCATGGGCTTCCACGGCCCCGGTTGTAATCGGTAATCATACGCCAGTTAGTGAACATGAGAAAGTGGTTAGCGCTTATCCCCTCACCAGCCTAGAAACCCCAAACCAAACTAACTCGCATCATGTGAATGCCGAACTAATGGGAACGGGGTAGCCCGGCCCCCGTGGGCTTCCGAGATTGTACATCTTTATGGGAGTAGAAAGACTCTTCTTTATCCCACAGAGCGGCAGCTGGTGGTTTTGAACTGCCGACCTAGTGGTTAGCAGCCCAACGTAGAATCACTCTGCCGTGGCCAGATTATAAGCTTCCTGAAAGTAGGGACTTGGTCTATATGGCTCTCCATTGCAGCCCCAGGACTTAGCATGGAGCTCGGGAGCCAAAACCCTCGCAAATATTTGCACAAGGAATAATGGGGGAAGGAGAGGGTGGAAGAAACAGGGGTGAAGGAAGGGAAAAAAAATTAACTTTCTTTTTAAAAGTTGAGGCGCAGTAAACTAACTTCTTCACACTCAACAGGAGTTAAGGATCCAACAAATTGCTGCAGCAAATGTAAGTAGATTATTGGGCACTGCCTGCCCAGGACTTTTTGAAGATGATCAGAGAGTGACCTGGCTGGTGACCTGTCCCATGCATGTATAACGCCTCGACCTTCACTGTTTAACTGGATTCCTGGAAAAGTGCCAGGGGTGGGAAAAACAGTCCCACCAAACCCAAAGCCCTTAAGATGCTTAGGATTTGGGGCTTAGGTCACCATGGCAAACAAAAATAAACCAGTCATTTCAGAGGTCCCTAAACAGCACCATCACAAGCTCATCAGACAAACGGACTTTCTGATCCATTAAAAAACATGCTGTGATCCTGGACATCAGTCAACCCACACTCACCCTGTTTCAAAAGGTGGAAGGAGTGGGACTCTACACTCCTCCTCACCCAGGCCGTTGAGAGTCTATAGGACAGGGCAGCACCACCTCAGGAGTTTCTGAGACTGTGGCGGCTAAAGAGAGCAGGAAGCAGCAGCTAGCGGCTTCAAACCGCTAACCTTTTGGATCGCAGCCCAACATGTAACCGCTACACCACCATCGCTCCTCTTCAAGCACATTAAAAAATGGAAGCCTTGGCTGGGGGAGCCGTGTTGAAGGTGAAGCAAAGGGGAGAACTGTGGTCCATCAGTTCTCTCTTCTGCTGCAGACCATGGCTAACTGGAAGTTCCACTGGGGAGATACAGGCAAGGGCTTTGGATCGTCACAATTCAGCCCCATCCCATCCCAAGGACTTCCCACAAGGCACACAGCGGCAGTGGCTGCACCCATGTTCAGGTACAGGAGGAAGAAGCAAAATGTAGGGGGCAGGGCAATGACATGACCCCTGATACCTTTAGGAGGGTCCTTAAAGTTATGTGGGAATGGAATTATATTTTTAAAATACTACTTTATGATTAAGGGAACCTTGTAGTGAATCCAAAAGTGGAATCAGGAACGAGTGGTGAAAACATGTATCCATAAAACTCCAGTCTTCCTTTGCCATGGGCCCCAACCTTGGCTCTGCGAGCCCTGGTTATGCATTGGGCTGCCAACTGCAAGGTCTGCAGTTTGAAACCACCAGTCAACCCCAAGAGGGGGACGAGGCTTTCTACTCCCATATGAAGAGTTACAGTCTCAGAAACTGGGAGTCTCAGTGAAGGGGCAGATCTGACTTATGGGGTCACGGTGAGTTGGTTAAGGTTTTTTGTTGTGTTTAAAAAAAAAAAAAAAAAATCTTGGCTCTGAGTTTGCCTGAAGCCCAAGCTAACAAGAAAACCTGGCCAGTTAGGAGCCATAGACAAGACATAAATTACTCAGGACTCCACGAGCTTGGGATTATGTATGATCAGTCAAGATTGTCTCTCTAGTGGCTTCACAAAGTGAAGATGGAACTGTGTGTCTCTAACAACACCTTTACCATGGAGCCCATGTCTTGAATCTCAGGACTGGTCCTAACAATGTCAACACTTAGTGTTCCAGAGTACAGCATCCCAGAATTCTGTTCCGGAGAAACCACGTTGTCTGTGTGTTGGGCTCAGCCCTAGCTTTCCCATAAGCTTTCCTGTCTCCTTATAGAAGGTGTCTTTGCTCTGCCTCTTCACTGCCTAGAAGATTGTGGACAAGCCTCTGGACCCTTCCTTACCTCCTCTGGTCAAATAGGGATCCTCATGTCAAATAGGGATCCTCGTAAATGATCTTGCAGGACGGGCGTGAGATGACACAGGAGTGTGTCAGTCCCTGGCTGTATTATATAGGTTCTGAATTATATGGTCAACCACTCTGCACGAGGAAAGGGGCCCTGTGGTTAAGTGTCAGGCCCCTGAGCCAAAGATCAGTGGTTTCAACAACACCACCTACCCCGCCTCCACCGCTCCTTGGGGAAAAGACGGGAAAGTCTTCATCCGTACATCCCCACAGCCTCGGACACCCTATGGACGGGCAGGTCTGGGTAGACAGGGTGGTGGTGAGTGGGAATCCACTAGACTCGGGTGGTTTGAGTTTTGATCTTCACGACGAATTCAAGGCTTCTTAGATCAGACTTTCCCGAAGGCAACATTTCTGCCTTGCCTTTTTTCAGACTCCACGGAAGAAAGATAAGCTTCCTGGCCTGTTCCAATCGTCAGCGAGCTGATTGTAAGCAAACGGCCGCCCATGTTCTTCGAGCTGCTAGCACCAAGATTACATGTGTCTTTGGTCACCAGTGTGGTTTAAAGCACCCCCTGTGGCTTCACACGTCTTCCCAAAACGAGCACCCTCCGTTTAGAGACAAGGAACCCGAGGGTTAAGTTAAAACACACCAACAAGAGTGAGGAATTTGAGAGATTCAAGAAGGGGGATTGAGCAAAGAAAAGGAGGGGCCGTATTCTCCCACATGCGCACACCCACAAAGCTAGGGGTGGACAACTCAGCAGCTGCCTGCTGGGCCTGTCCTCCCAGGGCCACATCTCAGTTTGAGGAATCACGAGCTTCAGCAGCGACGACAACACCACGTTGATCCAACACAGCCTGTCGCAGGGCAGTAGGAACCGAGGGCAGTTTGACAGTTTCCCTTCATTTAGCACATCTGCCATTTTCTCTCAGGAATGTGCACTGCCTCGATACGCAGAGGGGCACGGTGAAAACGCGTTTTACACACACACACACCCCTTTTACTGTTGGCAATAGAACTGGAGGGGAGGTGGGCAGGTTGGGAGAACAATGGGCAGGGCCCGCAGCAAGCAAGTTCCGCAGAGACTCGTGTATAAGCCGAGTTTTAAGCACATTTGTTATGCAGTTTTTGTGGTAAAATTAGATGCCTCGGCTGGTATTCGGACCAGCTTATACTCGAGTATTTACGGTAATTAACACTTCAAGCCCCTCAGGAAAACCTAGTAAGGTCAATGGGTATTTAAAGGGGGCAGCTGAGAGCTAGAGGTTATGTTTGTGTGTGTGTGTGTGTGTGTGTGTGTGTATGTATACACTCGAGTATAAGTCGACCCAAATATTAACTGAGGCACCTAATTTTACCACAAAAACTGCATTAAAAATGTGCTGAAAAACTCGGCTTATACACAAGTATATATATGTATATGTATTTGGCATTACCTCCCTCACCATAAGCGGTGGGAGGGTGGAGTGGCGATAGCCGTCACCCGAAGGAAGGTGACCCCAGGGACTTCTGTGTGAACTCCTGAGTCGTCTCTATATCCCCCCAGCACAGCACCCGCTGCCCTGTAGTAGGTGTTGTTCAATAACTGTTTCTTCCATGCACTGTGTGGTCCAAGGAGTAAATGCTGCCAGAAATGGACGTTCTCCAACAAGGAGCTCCTCTGGTTTGGGAAACAAAACCTTGCAATGGCCGTGGGCCCGCACCCTAACCGGCCCACTCCCGGCAGGCACAGGCAGATTCGCACCCACTGGCTCGGGGGAGAAACACATTTTGCCTGGGGAGCCAAAGAGAACACCCTTAGCATTCCCTTTCCCACCGTGGGAACCTCCAAGGAGAACTTCTTGCTGTTCTTCTTCTTCTTTCTTTTTCTCTTAATTTTTAAGATGGCTCCAGTACTTTTTTTTATGGGTCAAACAACAGAAAAGCCACACCAGTTGCCATCGAATCAAATCTGCCTCAGAGCATCGTGAGAGGACCGGACAGAACAGAGCTGCCCTGCAGTTTCCAAGGCCAGCAGTCTTTTAGGGAGCCGATTGGCCCTGTCTGTCTCTGGAGGAGTAGCTGGTGGGCTCGAACTGCCAACCTGTTGGTTAGCAGCCAATGCCTGAGCCCTTCACCCCAAGGCTCCTTAAACTGTAGCAATGTCAAACCTCCCCTGACCCTGTATCTCTCTGGCTTAGTCTCCCCCATCCCCCCATTCTTCTGGGGCTAGTGGTGAAGGCCGTGACGGTCCCATGAAGAGCAGTTGCTGGTAAGCTTAGAGTGTTTAAACTGCCAGAGAGCAACATTTGGCCTCCCAACCACACGTCGTTCTTCCGCCAGGTTTTCATTGGCCGGGGTTTTAAACACGGGGCAGAGAGGGTGCTTGGAGACTTGCCTTTGTTCTTTTGGGCTCATCACAGGAAATCAGCAATGACTGGTGGAATGGATGAGTGAAGGAATGAATCCTCACCAACAT